AACACCAATAAAATATTTAAGGTTTTTTATTGTTTTATATAAGCAATTATCCAAGAAGCTGGACTTTATAACATGACCTCCAAGGACCAAGTTGCATATTTAACACTATGAATGAAAAACAGAGTTGTACAGTTTTAAAAATGATTGTTTTAAGGGAATTTTTGAGACAAAAGGCAAATAGTTTGTTTCAAGCCTGCAAGCAAACCAATAAAATATTTAAGGTTTTTTATTGTTTTATATAAGCAATTATCCAAGAAGCTGGACTTTATAACATGACCTCCAAGGACCAAGTTGCATATTTAACACTATGAATGAAAAACAGAGTTGTACAGTTTTAAAAATGATTGTTTTAAGGGAATTTTTGAGACAAAAGGCAAATAGTTTGTTTCAAGCCTGCAAGCAAATTCAAATAAATAAATATATAATATTAAAACATAAAGACTACTGCAATAAAAAGTATCCCAGTCAGTGATTTGTTAAATTACATTCACATTTTTACATTCACCTCGACTTTCAAAGCAGGAATATTTTATAAAACTGAAAGAACACATTTAATTGTCAAGCTGATGCTTAAAAGTGTATAAAGTGTGATCCTTAACAATTTTACACATTTCCAAGGAAAGGACCCTGAAAGGGGAAAAGGGTAGGGGGAGACAAGGAGTTAGGAGTTTCTAGGATTATTCATTACTGCTTTGGCAAGTCTTCCAAAATGTGAATAATACACCTATCTCTAGTTAAAAAACAATAATACACCTAACAATGTAATTTTGCTATTTTCTGATTCGGAATGGATGTATGTACTAATTTTCACTTATTTCAGATCAGTTTTCACCAATACTGTGCAATCATGACTTTTTCTCCTTTGCACCTTGCAAAATGCCCTACTGAATGTAGGTTTATTATCCATTATCTGAAATGCTTGGGATCATAAGTTTGTGGAATATCTGTATAAACATAATGAGATATCTTAGAGATGTTCCACATAACACCTATACACATAGACTGAAGGTAAATTTACATAAAATTTTTAGTGTGCCTGCATTTTGATTGTGACACATATACATGAGGTCAGGTATGGAGTTTTCCACTTGTGGCATCATGGTGCTCAAAAAGTTTCCATTTCTGCAGCATTTCAGATTTTGGAATTAGGGATACTTAGCCTGTAAATGATTTCAGACATGGAATACAGGTGGGCACCGTATGAACCATTTCTAGTCAGTATACTGTAGAAGTTGACAGGTGTACCAAATAAATTCTATGCTCATTAAGTAACTGTCTTTTTATTTAAGAAATATGAATTTTAAGGTTATGCCTTTTCAGTAATCTTATAAACAAGGTAAAATTAAATTGTGATGTTACATTATTTTCTCAGTGCCTCCATTTGCATATTATTTAATTAAAGTATATGAGGTTGGAAATTCTTTTCCATTAGAGTTCCATTAAAGAATCAAGGCAATTGGATTTTAATCAAAATGAATATTCTTACATAAGAGGTTTTAGTGTTGTTGTTTGCAGCGGTATGCATGGAACCCGGGGCCCTATGTATTCAAGTGCTCCACAACTACACCCAAGCAACCCTCACCCTTTTTGAGACAAGAGTTACCAAGTTGCCCAGACCGGCTTTCAATTTGCAATTCTCCCACCTCAGCCTCCCAAATAACTTGGATTATAGTCATATGCTACTGTGCCTAGAAGTTGAAAGTTTTAAAAACAGGAGTCTTGTGAAAAACTGTATTCAGAGTTGCTTTTGGGAAAAGCTGTGTTAACAAAAACAGTGAACTAGGCAAATAAAAAATTTTTTTCAGTGCCAATTTGTAGAAACCTTTCTTGAAAAGTTCTACAATTTGTTGTATAAGGTAATGCAGAAGAATGAGAACAAGTTCAATCAGTCATATGCACCAAACTTCAAACACTTGGCTGATTTTTTAACATCCCTATAGCTTCTCAATCTTTCCAATCTTAACAAATTGTCTAGTGATAATATGGAAAAAAACAAATGGCCGATTTTAATATTACTAGCCTCTGGTAAACAGTTTATCTTTCAGATCTTAGAGCCGGGTGTGTTGGCACACACTTGTAATCCCAGCACTCAGAAGGCTAAGGTAGGAGGATCAGTGCAAATTCAAGGCCAGTCTGGGCTACATAGGGAGATAAAGGTCAGCCTGAACTGCATAGTAAGAGCCTGTCTCAAAAAATTAAAATAGAGGAATGGGAGGGACGTGAGAGGTGGGTGGAGATAATTCTTAAATTGATTATCTTTCTAAATTGTAGCTCTGGGGGGAAAAACATATACTGGAACAACAAATTTTGCTTTAGGTTTATATTAGAGATTTAGCCAGTTATAAGTTATGAGAAGGGACAAGATGGAGGTATCAACTCCAAGATAACAAGAAAGCCCAGAACCTCCCCCTTCTCGCTACAATCTTGGCTAGACAGTGAAGAACTTGTCCTACCCTGATGAGTCCATAAAAAAACCACACAATCCTCATTGTGATTAACAATAGCCATGACATATTGAGCATATACTAAATATTCTAGGTGACTTGAAATTCCTATTCATCAACCCTAAAGGAAGGTAGCATTATCTATATTTCATAAGATATTTGAGATTTGAGGAAGCTTAAGTCACCTACCTGCTATTCACACCTTTCTTGCTCTAAAACTGTAATTCAAAGTACCAGTTAGGACTTTCACTTAAGATTGTTATGTTATGTTGTGGTCTCCAATATAAGTACCTCTCAATCCCTACCTTTCTAAGTAGCCCCTGCAAGACAGTTAAAACTAAAGCTCTCAATCTTCAAGTATTGTATACAGCATTATAAATATTTTAGAGTGGTGAGGACACTTTGGGGATTTTTCAAAGATGTTAATCTGCCCTATGGCAAAAAAAAAAAAAAAGATTTCTTTCATCCTTTAACATTTAATTAAGAGTCCTGCTTTCCTAAATGCTTCTTTCATGATGCAGTATGAGACCCCCCTAAACGTGCCTTTTTCTTTTACTCATTGAAACTATAGACATTCAAATTTTTCTTTCTTTTAAATAAAGCTGTAATAATCTGATAACCTATTGTCTTCAAGGCTTCTCTTCTTAACACTAAATCAATTCAAGATCTGAACATAACCAAGAACCATCACCCTGGTCCTCTAGTTCTCTATTAAGTCTAGAAAGAGTCGATGAAAGATGTTTCCTTCATAGCTGAGCATTATCAAAATCTGCTTCATGGGGTTGGGGATTTAGCTCAATGTTGCCACCACTTGCTTTGCAAGCACAAGGTCCTAAATTCAATCCCTGGTACCACAAAAAACAAAACAACAACAACAAAAAAAACAAAAACTTGTTTCATGTTTCTACTGAAGTAACCACCCTTTACCTTTAATATCTAAATATCAAATATAGCTGGGGGTGGTGGCAAGCGCCTGTATCCCAGCACTTAGGACATTGAGACAGGATAATTGCCACGAGTTTAAGACCAGCCTGGGCTACACAGTGAATTCAGAGCAAGACCCTGTCTCCAAGTTTAATAAATAACAAATATAATTAACAATGATGATATACAATTACAGTTTTGTCTTTCTCATGGGTAACAGATTTCCTCTACTCCCTAAACAAAGATTTTAAACACAGCAAACGTAAAATTTTTCATGACATAATGAAAAGGACTAAGATACTCCCATTTTCTGTTTCATTCCAATAGTCTAATAACTATCACATGGCAAATACTTTAAACTCTTGCCTTACCAAGGATTCTTAATTGCAATTTAAGCCTATCTGTCCCAAATTCTTTGGTCTGTCTTGAGCAGAAAACAGAAATAGTCACTCTATGGTAATCCATTTCCCTTCCACCTCAGGAAGTTTTCTCAGCCTCTAGTAATCTGCCCCCATATGACTCTCGGTATGAAGTAAGAAAATATTTTGTGTAGTAAGCACTTAAAAAATTCTTGATAGGAAGCTAGAAAACATTTAGCTAACAAAGCAATGAAAATATTTTCAATTATTCTAAAATAAGACTTTGTATAGGGTAAATCTTGTTTGATAAATTTAACAGAAATGAAATCAGTTTAAATAGTACTCCCATAGTAGCAGAATATCAACATTCAGGAACTGTCTTGGTCCATTTTGTATTGCTGTAACACAACACCTGACATTCAGTAATTAATGATGAGCAGATTCACTTCTCACAGCTCTGGAGACAAAAGCCCAAGATCAAGTGGGGCACACTTCTGGCAAGGGCTTTCTTACTGCTGCATCTCATTGTAATAAGTGAAAGAACAATATAGCTCATGCACTCAAAAGAAAAACAAAGTCATCCTTTTATCAGGACCCTACTCCCTTGAAAACAGCATTAATCCATCTACCCTCATAACCTAGCCATCTTTTTAAAGGTCCCACCTTTCAACTCTGCTATTTCAGGGATTAGTTTTGAAGATAGGAATTTTAGGGGGGCACATCCAACCAAAGCAGAAGTATTTTGTCTAACCTCCCACAGATGTAGGGGGCTACAGAACATTTCAAACAGCAGTTTTAACTCATTCTGAGAAGTAAAAAAAATACATTTATATCAGTTATCCTCATATAATGCTGAAATGGTCATCCTTTGGTACATTTGAGTCCCCAGAACTGTTAATTCATTAAAGCAGTGACTTGGTTTCCCTAAGATAAATTTCATTCCATTCTAATTCTCTTGCTCTAGAAATAAAAAGTATGAATGCTTTTCATAAGATACCTCTACCTAGTTGGCAACTTTATCAGTGAACCTTAAATTTTAGAGAAAATCATGTATTAGTCCTTACTACTGTAAGCAATAGAAGGTAAGGAGTTAATTCCTGAATAGTGTACAGACTAAAGTATTTCAACTGTGTAGCTCCTTGTAAAATTCACATATGAATTACAATAAAACACATTCTTACCTTATTTTTCCATACAACACCACTCCTTCAATTTTAAATACTATCTCTTATGCTCAAGAACTGACAAGTAGAAAGATGAGGTTTCCACAGTGAATTTATTGTTCATTATTTTTAATTGCATGAAGATAATTCACATATTTAAGTCATCATCATTTAAAAGACATTATTAAGTATCATCATTTTAACTGACGTTTACTAGTCATCGTACCTAAGTCACTGAAATTCTTTTCTTACTTTTTTTTAAGTAACACTGATGGACTAGTGGAAGCAGTTTCCCTTCTTTATGAAGCCTGTGAGTGTCAGTTGCACCTCCTATAAAAGTTCCATTGACAAATATTCTTGGAACCTGTTGGATAAGCAACAAGGTAAATTAGGCCTATCAATATCAGAAATAGAAAATCATTTCAGATTAAATATACTCTCACACTCTTGAGTAGTATTTTTAGACCAGTTTTGGAAGAAAATGAAGAGGAACTTGCCTAAGATACAAGAATAGTAAATTGCAAGGCCAAGATTCAAATCCCAGACAATCTGGTTCTAAAGCTCTTCCTACTTATCAGTATGGTATACTATAAAGGATAAAGTAGTCTCTAGTTATTAATGATGTTTCAGTGATTCTTACATATGTTTACTAAAGAGGAAGAGTACATTATACGGATATAAAGTAAGTGGCAACACTTTTTCTGGTTATGTGTATTATAGAAAAATTTACAAACTGCAAGACTAAACATGGAGCAACACCGGCATATTCACTTCATAAAATACTTTTGGACATAAGAGATCAGCTAAACATCCTCTTCTGCTTCTGTCCACCATCATGTGTGCACGTTTGCCTCTGAGCTTAACCATGTCTTCTCATAAGATTTTCAGAATGAAGTGATTCCTGGCCAAGAAGCAAAAGCAGAATTGTTCCATTCCTCAATGGATTTGAATGAAGTCTGGTAATAAAATCAGGTACAACTCCCAAGAGGAGACTGGAGGAGGACCAAGCTAGGATTGTTAAGGAATTGAACATGAGATACAGCATACTTCTCTCCCAGAAGTCAAAAAATGACACATTCTTTATCACGGTCAAGGTTACATTACCATATATATCAAGCTTAAAAAATACATTTGTTGTTCAGGTGAACGTGCTCAATCAGGAATCTTGTTCTGTGAGCACACTAGTGAGTCAATAATAAATGTTTTGAAATGTTAAAAAAAAAAAGATCAGCTAAACATCAACAAATAACTATAGCTGGGAACCTCAATACTCCACTGTCACAAATAGATCAACTAGACAAAAGTTAAAAGACACTTCAATCAAATCTCCAAACAAATGGGCTTAATAAATACCTTCAGTGTTCCACCAAATAACAGAATATACATTCTTCTCAGCAGTACATGGAACTTTCTCCAAAATACATCACATGCTAGCCCACAAAGCGTACTTGCAAAAGAACCAAAATAGTGCAATGAAACTAGAAATCAATGGCAAAAAAAATCCCACAGAAATTATGCAAATGCATGGAAAGTAAACAAACTTTTGAATATCAGTGGATAACAGAAAAAATCAAGGAAGACATTAGAAAGTTCTTAACTCAAATGATAATACCAGTATAACATACTAGAATGCAGGGTACACAATGAAAGCAGTCCTAAAAGGGAAGTTTAAAGCTGGGAATGCCTACATCAGAAAAACAAAGTGAATCTAAGTAAATAACCCAATGATGCACCTAAAGGTACTAAAAAATAAGAACAAAACCAAAGCTGGTTCAAGGAAGGAAATTATAAAGATCTAATGAAATTAAGACTAAAAAGAAAAAGAATCAATGAATTACAAAGCTGGTTCTTTGAAAAAATAAAACAAACAAGCCCTTAGCCAATCTTACCAAAAACAGTAAATACCCAACTCAGTGCACTCAGACATTGCCAATATCCAGAAGATTATTAGCAACTACTTTAAAAGGCAGTAAAATGCAACAAATTGTCAAAAATATCATACATTATGACCAAGTAGGCTACATCCCAGGGATACAAGGATAGTTCAACATAAGCCAATCAATTTTATACATCACAGAAACAAGGACCAAAAAATCACATGATCTTCTCAATAAACACACAAAAGGCCTATGACAAAATCTAACTGCCAGTTGTGATTAAAAATATATTTTAAAAACCTAAAGAAAATAGGTACAGAAGGATACCCACTATCACCACTTTTGTATAACACAGTACTCAAAACACTAGCCAGAACAATTAAGAGAAAGAAAAGGGATATATACAGGAAAGGAAAAGTCAAATTATTTGCAGATGACATGATCTTTACATACAAAGCCCAAAAATTTCGTCAGAAGTCTCCTAGAATTAATAACCAAACTCAGCAATGTATCAGGATATAAAATCAATACACAAAAATCAAAGGCATTCCTGTACACTAAGTGAGCTTACCAAGAAAGAAATTAGGAAAACATTACCATTCACAATAGCATCAAGAAAAATTAAATATTTAAGAATTAACCCAATTAAGGAAGCAAAAGACTTCTAGAACAAAAATGATAGTACTCTGGAAAAAAAGATCAAAGAGGACATCAGAAAATGGAAAGATCCCATTCCTGGATAAGCAGAGCAAATATAGTCAAAATGGCCATGCTTCCAAAAATGATGTGAATTTAATTCAATAATAATGAAAATACCAACTGCATTCCTCACAGAAGTGGAAAAACAATCCTAAAAGCCTTATGGAAGTAGAAGAGACTCAGAATAGCAAAAACAATCCTGGGGAATGAGCCAAGCAGGAGGCCTCATAATCCCAGATTTCAAGGTATATTACAAAGCTACACTGATAATAGCAGTACGGGTATAAAAACACATATGTGGATACATGGAACAAAACAGAAGATTCAAAAACAACTCCAGGCGCATTCAACCATCTGGTCTTTGACAAAGGGGCCATAAACATGTGCTAAAGGAGAGACAGCCTCTTTAATAAATGGCACTGGAATTTTAATAAATGGCACTGGGAAACTGCCTATCCACATGTAGAACACCGAATCTAGATCCATCTCCCTCATCAAAGATCTAAATGTTAGAACAGAGTCTGCTAGAAGATTAAAATAGGTAAAACTCATGAAGATATAGGTGTAGGCATGGACTTTCTGACAGAACTCTAATTGTGCAAGTAACATCAAGAGTCAAATGGAATAATATCAACATTTTAAAAAACAACCAACAGAGGGAAGAGATAGGAAACAACCAGAATAGGAAAAATTTTGCCACCTATTCCTCAGAGGACTAACATCTAGAATATATTAAGAACTCAAAAAAATTAGATCCTTCCCCTAAAAGACCCAATCAAAACATGGGCAATTGAAATGAACAGACATTTCTCAGAAAGAGAAGTATAAATGGCTATTAAATACATGAAAAAAATGTTAAACATCTCTGGCCATTAGCAAAATTCAAGTTAAAACAATACTCAGATCTACCTTACTTCACTAAGAACAGCTATTATAAAAAAATAAAACAGTGCCGGGGGTTTAGCTCAGTGGTGCCGCTGCCTGCCTTGCAAGTACAAGGTCCCAAGTTCGATCCCTGATACCAAAAAAAAAAAAAAAAAAGAGAGAAAAATCAAGTAACAACAAATGCTGGCGAGGCTGTGGGAGAAAAGGAATCCAGTTACAGTGTTAGCAGAAATGTAATAGTACAACCACAATGGAAATCAGTTTGGAGATTCCTCAAATAGCTAACACTAGAAATTTCACTTAACCTAGATATTCCCCTTCTAGATATCTTCCCAAAAGAGTTAAAGACATCATATTTCAGTGATACATGCATATCCATGTTTATAGCAGCACAAGTCATAACAGCTAAATCTTGAAAGTGGCCTATATGTCCATCAATAGATAAACAGGTAAGAGAAAACATGGTATTTATACACAAGTACTGTGTCATTAAGGAGAAACTGGAGTCATTTGTAGGAAGATGGACTCAACTTGATACCATAATATTAATTGAAGTAAATCAGATACACAAGCTTAACTATCACATGATTTCTCTGATATGAGAAACCCAGAATACAAATAAAGAGCAAAATAAAAGAGTGGGTAATACGGAGATAGAGTCTTTTGTAAATGGGAGAAGGACCAAATAATGGAGGGAGAAAGGAAGGGAATGAAAAAAGAAATAAGATGTGTTATGTACATGTACCAATTCCTCACAAAGAATGTGATCATTACATATTACAATATACTACCAAAATAAAACAGGGACCTCTAAAGCACTCTTATCACACTAAATGGAGACTGGTCCCTTTTTTGTACTGTACAAGTAAAGGGAAGAGTAGTGAGTCATACTTTTATATTGCATATATATATTTTTTATATATATATATATATATAGCGATTCAAAAGGACTTAAAGATCCATAGACAAGGGGCCATCACATCACCATTACCCATCTCTCATTCTAGTCAAAACGTGTGCAGTAAAAATAAAAAATGAATTAACTCTGATTCCTATTCTAAGAATCTGGTTTCCAGATCTGCCATTTCTTTATCAATAGAAGATCCTCTGAGAAGATCTGGCTTAATTTTCCTAAGAGGAAGGTCTAGACCAGTGATGGTGAACCTTTTAGAGACAGAATACCCCAAATGCACCCCCAGACCCACCTATTTATCACAAAGTGCCAACTCTGTCCCTGTGTGCAGTTATCTGATGCTCAGCTACTGAGGTGATGCTGGCTCGCATGCTGACAGAGGGCTCTGCATCCTCTCCACAGTATGCGTGCCACAGGCTCGCCACCTTGGGTCTAGACTCGGGGTGATCCAAGTCACACTGTTACAGTACAAGGACTAGCACAGCTGAGGAAATACTCACAGTTCTTTCACCGGTCATTTTGTAAAGTGCATCTTGAAACTGGCTCCCATATTCAAGCATGTCCAGTTCCACCACTTTATAATTAACATTCATGTCTTGGAAAATCTTTTTTGCCATTGTACAGTAAGAACAGGATGTTTTTGAGAAAATCACCACACAATTATCAGAAATTGTTTCCTGAGATAAAACAAAAACTCATTTTAATTCTAGACATCATGCATTAGAAAGAAATTATGATATTGTGGAAAGGCTATAGACTTTGGAGTCTCATAAGTGAGTGGGAAATAAGGAGACAGTCTTTTGTAAATGGGAGAAGGACCATTTAGACCTCTAAGTGTCTATGATCCATTCTAATATGTGCAGATTGAGGATATTATTCATTTCAAATTAATATTAGGAACAAAAGTGTAACAAATAGTGCCTGGCATGGAGTAGTAATAAAAAGTAATAATGATATAGCCAATACAGCAAACACTTATGCGCCAGACACTATCTATACTCAACGCCTTTCCCCAAATGATGAGACTCCAGTACAAACATCTGCACAGCCTGTGTAGTTTGTGTTTTTATTTTTTTTTTCTAAATATTCAGGTGTTTGGGACCTTGAAATGATTTTAAACAGACAGGTCTCACATCCAGATTGATTTTGAATGGATAGGTCTAGCACCCAGGCATCTGTCTAGGTTGCTCTTATCTGGTGGGTCACAGCAGCACCTGCAAGACGATAGCCTAAAACAGAAAACACAGGACCCAGAGTGCCTCAGAAATTGTACTACCCTTGGGTGTCAGAGGAGTCCTGAGTTACAAGTCCTATCTACAAGTTGATCTATTTTTATGTTTTCCCTTCTGCATACTCATAATAAGATAGACTTGGTATGAAAGTCTATCTAACTGTAGTTCAAAGAAACTGCAACTTAGCCGGTTATACAATTCAGAAAGAAGTGAAGCAAAGACTTTTATTTTATGGACACAAACTCTTGCTTAGAGATGAAAATAGGAACTCTGTAAGATTGTAGCTATTTTCTCTGAAGGGTACCAGAGCCACCTCTCAGCTCTGAGGATGAGGGCGTTTAAGTGGCCAGCTGTACCAGAGATGTATTAATGAATCCATTTCATAGATGACAAAACTGAAGCTGAGAGGTTCGCGGTATTTGGATTTGACACAATCCACTCACAAGAGCAAAGCTCATGCTCCACTGCCCAGGCTGCCTCAGGTCCCAGGCATACTGTGACTATTTGCTTTACAGAGAAAAGAGTGCGCTAGGAGCTGACATGGGGTGAAACACTAATACAGACATGCCAAAATAAACTGGAACTGGAGATGACAGCGTCAGGGTTTCTCAAACCCTCACCCCTTTTCTCAAGCTCATTCTTGGTAAATATTTCATAATGCTTTATTTTTACTTCAAAAGAGGTAATTCCCTCACAATGTTTCAAGCATTACTCAGGGCTACGGGTTTAGCCAACTGAATGAAATGTAGATCATGCGTGAGTGTGTGTGTGTGTGTGTGTGTGTGTGTGTGTGTGTGTGTGTGTGTGTGGTGTAACAGGTGTGTGTGTGTGTGTGTGTGTGTGTGTGTGTGGTGTAACAGGTCAAACCCAGGGCCTCACACATGTTAAACACATGATCTACCACTGTATTACACCCCCAGGCCAAGGCAGAAATTTTTCATATGTGGTGGTAGAGGGTGGTAAGGAAGAGAACAAAAAAATAGGTATGTCTGAGAGGCTGCAAGAAAAGAAAAATGTATGCATGAATTTTCTGAGGCAGCATTAACTAAGATTGGCAGTGAAAGAGAGGAAATAAGAATACGGCAGTACAATATGTGGTATCCCTGAGGAGGGAGCTTATGGAGTAACTACTGCATCCTAAATTCTGTGTTAGGTTAGAGAGCTGGTAAACAACTGCACAGGCCAAAATCAGCATTCCTGGCTATGGATATCGGCAGCAGACTTGATGTGGATATGTTGAAAAACAGCAGTCAACCTCGTAGATCCAATTTGCAGTTAAGATTCCTCTAAGAATAAGTCTCATAGGGCAGGGATTTAGCTCAGTGATGCCACTCCCTGTCTCACAAGCACAAGGTCCCAAATTCAATCCCCAGTATTAAAAAAAAAAAAAAAGGAAGAAGTCTCACAAATTTTGACTGCCAAAATGATACAGGACATCACTAGAGTGTGGATTATTAATTTAAATATTAATTTAGCAATTCATTTGCTGAACTATGTCAAGTTTAGGTAATGAGGAAGCATATTAAGTATGCAAAACAGCTATTTTTCTGCAAAGACATTTCCCTAAGTCTCCTGCATTACTCACTTGGATCTGGCTCACAGGTGCAGTTGCTGACTTCCCCAAAGACGATGTGCTGTTCCCCATCCTAAAAGGAATTGAAAAGGGCAGTGAATTTACTATGTAATAACTAATCTGAGTTCCATTTGATGAAACCTTTTAAATACAAATATATCTGAACATCCAAAATAGAAGAAAAATTGTACTTAACAGTACAAATTATCAGTTCACAAAGTATTTGTTTACTAAAACCAAAAAGGCCTTGTGCTTATCTAACTAGTTTCCCAATGTTTTTACTTATTAGATGAGATCATATTCACTGTGTTTAAAGTCTGGCACCCTCTGATTGGTAAATTCATAACCATAAAATTGCAAATATTCTGACCTACTGATGGTATGTCCATTGGTTTAAAAATATGGCTTTCATCTCCTTCTTAAAACACACACAAAAACTCCATGAACAGTTTGTGAAGCAGGGAACCTACAAAGATTTAAAGATTTTTAAGATGGGCACGGTAGCACATACCCATAAGCCAGGCTACTCAGAAGCCTGAGGGGTAGGATTGCAAGCTTGAGGCCAGACAAGGAAACTCAGTAAGATCTTGCCTCAAAATGAAATTTTAAAGGGGTTGGGGATGTAACACAGAGGCAGAGGGCTTGCTTGGCCTGGGTTCAATCCCTGTAACACAGAGGGGAATAAATATTTTAAATTAAAGTATCTCTACTATAGTGGCTAGATGGCTCTCAAATTTTCCAGTCAACAAAATGGGAATAGCAAAATATTTTCTCATGGCAGCATGAGAAAAAAAAAATGTGAACATAATCACTCCCATCTCAAAGGGTAAGAATTAAAGGAATACATACAGGAAGTTGAAGTGGATCTTACAGAGTAAATATTCACTGACATCTGATATTCCTATTAATTTCTCATTTTAAGGACGCTCATTAGTATTTATTATTTAAAATCTATCTGCTGGAAGCTTGTAAAAGGAGGCATTCATTAAGCAGGAAAATATTCACTGAAAACCTGCCCAGTTCAGTGTCATCAAATCTCTCCACTTCTTCCTAGAACATTTCTTTCCCCAACTCATTAATCTTCCTTGCTCAGCCAGGACTTACTGCACTGTAGGAGCAAGCAAAATTTCATATGCAAACTAACGGCAGCATGAAATTACTAATTTCTCAAATGCTTCAAGCTTTTGAGTATTTGAATTATTCCAATATCTAAGTACCAAGAGAATAAGATAAAGAATTGAAAGTTGAAACATTTAAAAAATACCTCCATAGTTTAAAAACTCCAATTTTGATAGAAAAATTCTCCCTGTAAATCCTTGGAGTGCATTAAATTTTAATGTTCTCATATATTTATAATATATATTAGAAAACTTTAGTTCTTCCTCCCCTCTTCCCCTGCCACCACTACCACCAGCACCACCATTCCTCAGTCTGAGGGATCAAACCCAGGGGCATACTACCGGTAAGCAAATTCAAGCTACTTTTTTAATATTTTATTTGAGATAGGGTCGCAATAAAGTGCGCAGGCAGCCCTCAAACTTCCCATCTTCCTCCCCAATATATTAGAAAACTTTAGTTCTTCCTCCCCTCTTCCCCTGCCACCACTACCACCAGCACCACCATTCCTCAGTCTGAGGGATCAAACCCAGGGGCATACTACCGGTAAGCAAATTCAAGCTACTTTTTTAATATTTTATTTGAGATAGGGTCGCAATAAAGTGCGCAGGCAGCCCTCAAACTTCCCATCTTCCTCCCCAAATGCTGGGATTACAAATGTGTACACCATATCTGGCTAATGGCTTTTTCCAGGGCATATTATGCTTGGATGGTGCGACTCTGCTCTAAATAGTGATACTGCACATTTAGAATAAGGAAGCTATAACAAACATCACCTTCAGGTATAACAAAGATGAGTCAGAGACAGAAGTATTACAACAAATCATATCTAACCAATGCCTGTCATCAAGAGCCTGCATGTTTACCTCAAAAAGAGGCTAGGAATAGGGAACGTCTTCTCACCTTGAGAGGAAGAAAGAGCTTGGAGAAAAAAAGCTGTCTGAGTTTATGAAGCTAACACAGAAAAGAAAGGGTTTGGCAGCATTGGCCTGGATCTAAAAAGAATCTTTGGATGGTATAATATACCGTTTACTTGGTTTATCGACTAAGAAAACAAGTTCTTCTGATACCAAGGATTTAACTATCATCCACTAGACAGTTTTAATTATTGAAGCAGGAATTAATAGAACTTCCCTAAAAAAAAAAAAAAAAAAATGTTTCCTTGAGTAGCGAGAGATCAAGAATTCTGAGCCAGGCGTGGTGGCGCACGCCTGTAATCCCAGAACTCATGAGGCTGAGGCAGGAGGATCACTGTGAGTTCGAGACCAGACTGGGCTACATAGTGAGTTCCAGGTCAGTCTCAACTATATAGTGAGACCTGTCTCAAAAAACCAAAAATCCAAAACAAAACAGAATTTTACATTCTGAAAAATTACTTACCTCCCTTCCAAACACAATTTCTTAAAGGCACCCTTTCCCCTTTTCCCTTCAATTTCTACTTGAGGTTGGAAAAGCTATCACTTGTTGGGCCGGGGATTTAGCTCAGTGTGCACTGCGCATGCCTCACAAGAGCAAGGTCCAGGATAACGAGAAACAAAAACAAAAGCAAAAACAAACAAACAAAAAACTATCACCTGTTTTAAAAAAAAATCCAAAGAGGAAGTAAGTGCACAATGGTCATTCCACTTCAACCCTGATGAAGCGCCAACTACTTATGGAACTAATTGGTACGTAAACTGGAAGGACCAAAGTGCTAAGTACCCCAGAGACAGAAAAACACTAAGGGACTTCAAGGACCTGTCAGCCAAATAGTTAACAAAATGCGACTGGACCTAGCAGGAAGGTCTCTAACTTGGGCTGGAGAGTTAATGGAGTTCCTAGATCACTCAGTGAGATACTCGAAGGCCTGAGGTGGACGTGGACGTGCTGTCTGGCTCTAAGTCACCAAGGGGCAGGACCTGAGAGGCGCCCGCTGCTGCCTGCAGGGAAGCGCCAGGGACAAAACCGATGTCCCATCCTCAAAGCCTTAGACATTTACTAGGTCCCTTCACCTTCACTTCCTGCGGTAGGGTTACCAGATTTAGCGATTAAAACTGAATGACAACCAAGCTGGACGTGGTGGGGCATGCCTGTAATCCCAGCTCTCCGGAGGCTGAGGCAGGAGGATCGCTGTGAGTTTGAGACCAGCCTGGGCTAAACAGTGAGTTCCAGGTCAGTCTCAACTACATAGTGACACCCTGTCTCAAAAAAGCTGAATAACTACCACAGTCCGGGATGTAGCTCAGTGGCGTCGCCCCTGCCTGGCAAGCGCAAGGTCCTGGGTTCGATCCCGTACCGGGGGTTAAAAACACCCTAAATGACAACCGATTAAACTGCAATTTCCAATAAACAGTGAACCTTCGGTCTTAAGCACATCCATGCCCAGGTACTAACGCTCATTCGCTGTTTATCTGCAATCCCAGGGGTCACGGCTTGCATCCCATGGCAGGGCGGTCAGAGGGGCCCTGGGAGGCAGGATCCCCAGGGCACACCGCCGGGTCTCGCGCGCGGCCCTCCGGCTCGCCCAACCCGCGGCGCCTGCACCCTCTGCCCCGCTTTCTCC